ACCTCGCTTTTATACTTTTCTGCTGGATGGTTAAGACCAAGATAAACCAAGACCATATCACAAAAAATGTAACTTTTGTATCTGACAAGGTCAGTCAAATCCCCTCCGGATTTACCCTGAAACCCTGTACAGCAGTTTGTAGATCCTTTGTCAGTGTCAGCCATGTGGATGAGTCACGGCCATTGCTTGACCAATATGCTCTCCATCAGCATGGTTTTATTTTTTTTTTTCCATAATTTTATTGAGAAACAAAGAGCAATGAGACAGTTTCTAACCAAACTGGTAGGACAGTTTCAATAATTAACACATCGCATACATTCTTTCTACTGGTTAACTGCTGTACAAGATGCGGACATGATATCCTACTTACAAACACCATTAGAACAAATCCCTCTATTCATTCAGAGAATGTAACTATATATCTATCCCAACCACTTTGAATACACAGATACAAAACGGACACTCATCTGTATCCCCTTTATTTGGTTAAGTTTCATTATTTGAATATTATAGGTGTGTAAACTCAGCAAAATATTCTAAAAGAGTCTAGTAGCCCATAATAGTATTGGGTCTTTCGCTTGACTTGCAATGTCAGAAATTGTTGACCTGAGTTCTTTTTTATTTTTAAAGTCCTGCCTTTTAAAGAAAATCACAAAGTGCCTACAAGCAGGCTCAGTGGTGGGGGCTGGATTCTGGGGACTGCCATGCCAGCCCCACCCCAAGAGTGCAGTGAGATGGCAATTGAGATTGGGCATGGTGGCCCCCGCCTGTAATCTCAGCTCTTGGGAGGCTGTAAACAGTTGGATCACTACAAGTCCGATCTAGTAGTGAGATCCTGAACACCCTGTAGATTCTTCCCTAAAATACAAAAAAAAAAAAAAAAGCTATTGTTCTAAATATGAACTGAGGGGGTCTGCCCATTAGCTCAGTTGTTTAAGTACCTGCTTCAGCAAAGCAGTCAGGCTCAGGATGCTGTGGTTCGATCCCCAGATCCCCATGCCTTATCAGACCTGCCCTTAAGGCATCCTAAGCCAGCCCAAAAAA